TAATATATATATATATATATATATATATATATAGTCGTAACGTTTATTTATATATAGGCATAACGCTTACCTACGTATGATCATAACGCATATTTATATCTATAGTCATAACGCTTGTGAATTAAGCCTTCCTATAGATAAGTGGGTTCTCAATGTTACCACCTTCCGAACACCCATGTATAGATAAGTGGGTTCTCAATGTCACCACCTTCCAAACACCCATGTATAGCTAAGTGGGTTTTCAATGTCACCACCTTCCAAACACCCATGTATAGATAAGTGGGTTCTCAATGTCACCACCTTCCAAACACTCATGTATAACTAAGTGGGTTCTCAATGTTACCACCTTCCAAACACCCATGTATAGCTAAGTGGGTTCTCAATGTCACCACCTTCCAAACACCCATGTATAGATAAGTGGGTTCTCAATGTTACCACCTTCCGAACACCCGTGTATAAATAAGTGGGTTCTCAAGGTCACCACCTTCCAAACACCTGTGTATAGATAAGTGGGTTCTCAAGGTCACCACCTTCCAAACACCCATGTATAGATAAGTGGGTTCTCAAGGTCACCACCTTCCAAACACCCGTGTATAGATAAGTAGGTTCTCAATGTTACCACCTTCCCATAAACACCCATGTATAGCTAAGTGGGTTCTCAATGTCACCACCTTCCAAACACCCATGTATAGATAAGTAGGTTCTCAATGTTACCACCTTCCCATAAACACCCATGTATAGCTAAGTGGGTTCTCAATGTCACCACCCTCTATTACGAGTATAACTAGGTGATCACAAAGTATTAATCCAGTTCTAATCCTCAAAGTACTAATACTTTAAACCAATACACAAGTAGATAACAGTTGGTAAACAGTACCGAAAATGATGACTGTATAACATACGTGTAGTGGGTGTTGTCGTAAATAAAGCTGCGTGGAAGCGTAACACGTTTGATACATTAATTTTAAAGGTTCTACTAAACACAGATAAATCACACAACTACACGTGTGGCTGCATACCGAGTAGCGTAAAACCATAAATATTTTATCCACATACACGAGGGGGGTCTCGAGCTTTATTACGAATACATCCAACTTCAAATATTTATATCTACAAAACCTGTGAATATTTCACCACTCCTCATTTTCTAACTGTGTATACAAATAACTTCACCTCGTTATATTCTTAGAGTCTCGGGAGAAATATTTTACAAGTTTGTTTGTTTGAATTTCGCGCAAAGCTACACGAGGGCTATCTGCGCTAGCCGTCCCTAATTTAGCAGTGTAAAACTAGAGGGAAGGCAGTTAGTCATCACTACCCACAGCCAACTCTTGGGCTACTCTTTTCCAACGAATAGTGGGATTGCCCGTCAAATTATAACGCCCCCCCGGCTGAAAGGGCGAGC